GACCGCCTCAGCCGCGCTCCCCCAGGGTGCGGGCGCCGGTCCCTCGCAGTCTCCCGCGCCGCGGGGGCGGCTCGCCTGGGCTCTGTGGAGGCCACCCCTGCTGGACTCGGGACAGAGTTGATGCCGGCCGCGGGGGACCGGGGTGGGAGGTGGCGTTGGCGACGCGGGAATGGGATTTGGGGTGCGGCTGCCTTGGGGTATGGTGCGGGCGCAGACCTTCCCCACCGACTACCCCCCCCCACACCCACGCACACTGGGTGTGGGAAACGGGCCCTGCCTTTTCCTTCCCTCCCTCCTCTCGCCCCCTCCCCCTTTACCCTGCGGGTACGGGTTTCTCCTCCAGGTTTGGGGCTGAGCCCCGGGCGAGCCCTCCCCTCCCCCACGGTCCTCCCCTCCCCCCACGGCCCGCCCCGCCCCTGCAGGAGCTCACGGGTGATGTAATGCGGGGTGGCGCGGGCTGGGCGAGCGGCTGCCTCGGCCGCGGCGCCGGTGGCAGTCACTGTCCTTGGTGAAGAGCCGATCTCGTGTCTCGGTCCAAGGGCGATGGTCAGTCATCATCCAGCCCCGCACACTGTCCGCTCTTACTGGCAAAGCCGGGCCGCCCAGCGGCGCTCCGCTCAGGGTGGGAGCTCGGCAGCGGCATTTTCCTTTCACACTTGGAGGAAATTTTGGAGCGAAGTCCAAAATTCCCCGATTCCCCTCCCCCACTGCTTCCCGAGATTTAGAGGCCGGAAGATGGACCCGTCGCCAGGGTTGGCTGACCACAGCGGGTGGGTGGTAGCTATTTTCTGGGTGCGCAGGCCTTTCCCAGTCGGAGGTAGGGGGGTTACTGTTAAGTTCATGGAATTTCAAAGCCCAGCTTTAACCTGCACACACCCCCCCTCATACTCACCCCCATCTTCCACTTAAACTATTATACACAAGTGCGCAGACCCAAGACTCCGAGGAATAGGAGATGACTCTTCCGAGTTAACAACTGACAGAGCCTGACTAAGCAAGTGAGCAAGAAGTAGCTCTTCTTGAAGAAGACAGGTGAGCCAAGCACAGGAATGGCGCTTTGGGGGCCACAGGAAGGGGTGATGACCAGGTGTTCTTAACCAGAAAGTTCTGTCCCCCTGTTTCCCCAGGTTGGCCCTCATCACAGGAAGAAGCACCCCATCTCCACCATCGGAAGGGGAAGAGGATCAGAGGGGTTGCTCCCTCTTTCTCTCCTGATTCCCTCACTGCACAGTCTGATGCCACAGGGGATGCTGATGGACAGGAGGGATGGATGGGACAGAAGCTGAGGAAAAGGAGGGAAGACGTAGTTGTGTTTCTACCAGTCTGACGCCAATGTGCAGATGAGAAGAGGAATTGCCCTAGACAGCTCTTCAGTTTCAGGAACATTTGAAAATTATTTTTCTTTCATGTAAAAAGTGGATGTGATAGACCCTAAATTTGAAGCCCTAAACCAAAGGACCATTCGAAGCTTTTGATAAGCCCTGGAGGTCTGCCTGCCTGTGGGATGAGAGGGGAAAGGTGGGAGCTAGGGGAGCATTGCAGGTGGGTACCGCACGGCTGGTGAGATCCCGCTGAAGAGGTGTGGGGGTGTGCCTCTAAATCATGCACAGGGTGGTAATCCAGGGGCCTCAATAAAAGTATAATTTAAAAAAACCCACTCTTTCCATGTCCCTGTTTCAAATTTTATGAGTATGATTAGAAGTGGTAATTGTCTTATGTTTTTATAAGTATATTATTGTGTGATGGAGGCGGGTGAGAGGACATCTGGAGAAGGCCCTAGTCTTACCTTGGAATATTACAAAATAGCACAAGTCTAACCCTCTTTGGGGGAACAGCTTTCTGTCCTTTTCTCTCCCCCCTCAAGAGGTCTGATTGCAGACTTAAAATTAGCCATTTTATGCAGTTTTAAACAGGGTCTTCTTTTAAGAAAGAATTATTTATGCATACAAGAACTGGGGAACAAGTGGGGGGGCAGGAGGGGTGAGAGGATTCACCAGAGTCAGAGTGGGGAGCAGAACAGGCAGATGGACTGAACTGCACTGCTGAGGGTAGAGGTGGGCAAGACAGGAGAGGTCTGCTGCGCCATGTGGGTCAGCTCCTGTGCCGGGACTGAACTCGAACTTGTACTGCAGTGGCTGCCTAAAGCTTCAAAGTGCTGCACAATGCGATGTAGGAGGGAGGGGGGAAGAGAAGCCCAGCAGCAGGAGGAAACTGCACGAGTGCAGTTTCTCTGCTCCCCACCCCCCTGCCCGCATGCATTTCCTGGGGCAGTGCAGCCTCTGTGCCAAAAGGGGGCTGAGGAAAATCCTGAAGCCAGCAGGTGCGCAAACGGCAAGCATTTGGGCAAAGCATTTAAGATTGTGCAGCTTCACTTTGCAATGTGATTGCCCATTGAGTGAAGAACTAGAGATGGTGCTTGGGGCGCCCTAGCTTCTCAACCTCGGCACTGTTGACTCTTGGCGCTGGGTAATTCTTTGCAGTCCATGCTATTCTGTGACCTGTCAGATGTGTAACAGCATTACTGGCTCTAACCACAGATGTCAGTGGAAATTCTTCCCCAGTGTGACAACCAATATGCTTCCCCAAATCATCACTGGGTGGGGACCACAGGTGTACACCCAAGTCAGAGCCTTGGTCCAAGTGCAACTGCAAGTAAAAACATCTACCCTTCATCCAGCTCAAGCAAAGACAGCATCCCCAGTTAGTCCTTCCTGGCACTCCCATAGCTCACCATAACCTAGATGCCCCTACATCTGTTGCAAGAGGAATAGGTAAGCTTGTTGGGTGGCAAGCTCAGGTGGCTTCCAAGGTGTAATCTGAAACTGGCCCTGTCCAGGGAAGGCAGAGTGGCCAATGAGCAGGGCTGGCGGCTCCATATTGACCAGTGGCCGTTGTAATAATTAAGGGAACTAGAATTTACTTACAAGGCCTTGTCTCTGGTGGCTGAAAGACAAGCAGTACTCGGCTCCTGCTCCCCAGATCTCAAGCTTATAGAGTCTTCAACTGGGACTTAATCACGTGTGCAGTCCAGATGGTCTCAACAACACAAAACTATTTCAAGGCCATGTCCTTGGGCACTTCGGAGAGCACATTCCAAGAACAGGTAGGTCATATTCTTTTCACTGCCAGCAATGGTTTTTAGCAATAATATATTCTGTCGGTGGAGTATTAGTGCCAGTGCCATAGTTTTCAAGGGGACTTGGCATCCCCAATTATTTAGGACCAGTGACTCATTTTTAGAATGCATAGAGGTGACACACAGGCTTATCAGTGCAGTGATGTTGCTGAAAAGTACTTAAGTTTGCTCTCAGCATGTCACAGTTCTCTGCCCAAACTGACTTAAGGTCCAGCTCTCCCAGTCGCCTCTAGCAGCCGTATGGGGGTCTGGTCATTCAGGAAGAAGTTAGGTCAAGTATGTGTTGAAAGGGACTGGAGCCAGAAACCAGGAAGTCATATTCCCATCAGGCTTCCAAGTGGCTTAGCAGGACTCTGGCTTCCAGCCTAGCTATATAAGACTATCCTAGACTATCTATTAGACTTTATATTAGACTTTGTATTAGACTATAGCTTAAACTATCAGACTATATATTAGATTTTACATTAGACTATAGCTTCGACTATCTATTAGACTACATATTAGACTATAGCTTAGGCTACCTATTAGGCTTCATATTAGATATATTAGACTCTGTAAGAGTAACTGTGTCCCATTCCAGCTGTAAGTTCTCTCCCCAGGGGTAGGCAGTAGAGGCTGAATTCTTGTTTGATTTTTTTTTCTTTTGAGGACCTGTAAATGGGAGATATTCTCAAGTCATCTCTTGTCCATTCGTCCACCACCTCGAGAAAGAGAATATTTTAGTTTGCAGGGCAGCTGTCTCCCAAAGAACTTCATGGGGGACAGGTATTCCCAGTGAGTACGGGTTGACTGTCTTGAGTCCAAATTCAAGGTCTTCACCTTACCTATGTGAAGCCTGAGATAGGCTGCCCTGTGCCTTCCCAAACTGTAACCTGGGGGATGAGAGCAGTTACAGCATCACTGTTGTGAGGGTGGGGTGCCATACACACAGCCCAGAGAAGGGCACCCCATCCCATTAACACTTGTTTCTGCTTGTGTCAGGGCTTTCTGTCCCCCCTTCTCAGTAGTCTCCACAGACACCTGATGGGAGAGGCCTCGAGAGTCATGGAGCCAATCGAAAGTCACAGAGTGTGGCTCTTTGTTTCAAAGGTAGAGATACAGGCAGCATCACAGAGAGACCAGGGGGAGGCCCGGCCTCTGCAACTAACCATGTGCCGTGGATCTGACAGCTGCAATAAACAAAGCCCTGTGTAATCTAAAGGGACAAAACAAAATCTCACTGGTAAACTGGAGGGCTGACATATAGGCAGGTAATGCCAGCCAGAAGCAAATAGCAGATGAGTCTGTCAAACTGTTGACATTTCAAAATAGACACTAAGTTAATTCAATTTGATGTTTATTGAATTCCTATTCAGGGGACATGGTTGCTGTGTGAGAAGATACCTGCCTCAGGATTTTTAAAAAAAGATTTATTTATTTATGTATATAAGATCTGGGGTGTGTATGTGGTGGGGGGTGCAGGTAAGGGTATCCACCAGAGACAGAGTGGTGAACAGAATAGGTGGATTGACAGAAATACACTGGTGAGGGGAGCAGCGAGACAGGAGAGGTCTGCTGCGCCATGTGGGTCAACTCCCTGGCCAGGGAATTGAACCCTAGGCCATTGGGGTAATAGTGCTGAGACTTAACCCCTAAGCCACCAGGGAGACTCTAAACCTGTGACGTATTTAATGCCCCAGAGCTGATACCAGCTGGCAGGTTTAGCAGTGCGAAGATTGGTTTTGTGACAGCTGACGGTCACCAAGGCTTCCACGTGCCAAACCTAAAGGAGTCGAATCTAAAGAACAAGGGAGAAAGATAAGAACATGGCAAACTTGTTTTTGCATCTTAAAATGTTTTTTACACAAGAAACTTGAAAAATGGCTTTTCTGTTCTTAAATTAGCAGAGCTCACAGCAGTATCTTCCCATTCTTATTTTTCTACTCCTATTCTGTGATGACGGTGCTAAAACAGAACATAAATCTCCAACTTGCTAACTCAGGGCCCAGGGTAATTTCAGCTATCAAAAGCTAGAGCCTTCTGAAGATGGGTGGGGTGGAGAAGGGGAGGATTCCATTTCCTTGCTTTCTCCAACTTCCAGAGACCCTCTGGCCAGTGGCCACGCCCCTCCAGGCTCACTCCTGTCCTGACCCTGACCCCTGCCTCCCTCTGAAGGACCCTGGCATCTGGATCACAGGATGGTCCAGGATCTCCCCCATTTCAGGACTGAAACCTAATCAGCCCCTCTGTGGAGTCTCTTTTTGCAGGCTCCAAAGTAAGACACTCATGGGTATGTGGAGCGAGGATGTGGCCAGCTTTAGAGTCTGTTGTTTTCTTGGCCTCTCAGTTGAGGCTGCTCATAGTTGAGGTGATTGGCTCTCAGGTTGCAGCTGCCTTAGACCCTGCTTATCTGCAAAAGGAGATCAAAGGGGCCAACATTTCCCAGTATATGATGGTCCACTAGTCCCCCAGCTGAGAAATCAAACATCAAAAGCATGCTAGTGTGAACCCAGATAATATGAAGTGCTAGAAGTGCATTTCTCTGCGAACTTTCTCCTGATTCCAAAGCCTTGGCTGCCTGAGATGCTAAGGCATGAACCTTCCTGGAGCATCCCCGATGACGGAGTGGGTGTGTACATAAACAAGCCCCCTCATCTCCAGGTGAGTTAAATCTGAGGCATGCATTTTCATCTTGCACTGAGCTTCCCAGCAGAGTTAAGCTCTGGACCCTGGCTGAGGTTGCAGATCTGACTGGTGCCTTTTAGTAAATGTCTTCACTGCTTTCCCTCATGTATGTGCTCCCCACTGGTGTTCCCTGGGGACCCTATCTTTCCTCAGGGTGTACTTCTGGTTTGTTATACACAGAAAAGCTTTGAGAGGGAGAGCAGAAAGAGGAGGTACAGGCAGAAAGAGGAGATGACAGAAGCATTTTTAACTGAACCTCTTTTGGAGTAAAAGTGATCCACGGATAACTTGCTAAACATGCTGGTTTATTTGGAGGTGGGGAGGCCCCAAGCCCCCAAGAGATTGCACACCAAAGCACCCTGAGTGTGGAGTAGACAGGGCAGTGGGGAAGAGCTGCGTGGAGACAATCAGGCGGCTCACCCACCGCCCCCTCTCTGGCTTCGGCAGGGGCTCACTCCGGGAGAGCCAGCCAGGACCGGAGCTCCTGATAGTTATGGGGAGGGCTGCCAGGAGCCATGGGTCTGGGTGGCAATGCCTCAGGTGCAGCAGAACAGGGGGGGGGTGGTCATTGTAACAGAAGCCACCAAGAACCCCTGGCCCCTCTGCAACCCCCGCAGCCCGCCTTGAAACAGAGGCCGGCCAGAGAGAAGGGAGAAGAAGAGGAAGAGGCACCATTTCTGAAAGGATGAAGTCTCACCCCCAAACAGGTGAATTTCAAGCTAAAAAGGAAGTGATTGAGTTGTTAGCAAAATCGAGTGTGTCCCCTTGCTGGGGTTCCAGGTGGGGGCTGGGTAAAGCAGGTGGTAGAAGGCCACACATGTGCCAAAGCAGGTCTTTGATTTCCAAC